AATTGAATATAATATATGGTCTATTTATTCATGCATTCATCATTGACAACGCTGGCGAACGCTAGGAGGTATATGAATGATTCTTAACAATGGAAAAAGTGATGATGTTGTTTTTTTCGCTTTTATTGAGAAGCTCCGTAAAGAAGAGTTAGTGGTAACGTAATATGATGCAACGAAATAGTTTAAAGGCTTCTCAGAGGTTGGCTCTCTCCAAACACCAAAATTAGAGTAGAGTGTCTTCAAAAATGGACCATTTTAATAGTTATGGCGAAGCAAACGGGTTTCCTGGATGTGCGCTTTTTTGCTGTGAGTGCTGGTATTGTTGAATGAATCGGAAACTTTGCAATACGGATCGAAAAGCCATTGTTTGTTCAATTACTATTCTATTTTTCCATCGAGGCTGAAATATTACAACTGTAGATATGTCAGTGGTGCCTTTGGTGGGGTTACGCCCAAAGCCACCGAAGTCGTTCTAGAATGACTTAACTAGCAGCAGCTGCAGGCTAGGGGCCAACGGATTCGCTGGCCTTTGCGTGTTGGGAAAACTCTGCTCTTGGTGCTCAGTTAATATTCCAATATAAAATAAAATTTTCGCGGTCGTCGAAATATCGACACAATCTCGATCAAGATTTTCAGTCGGTGGTTCAGTTATCACGGTTGTGTAGTGTAGTGGTTAGCACTCGGGATTTTGATCTTTCATCAGAAATATTCCCGCGACCCCGGTTCGATCCCGGGCACGACCTTTCTTTTGCTTTTTGGTCCTTCGCTACGCCCGGTGCCTATCCATGCAGTGTCTATGTGGTGGCTGTAGATCGGACGTCCGATTGCATATATTTGGTTTTTTAATTCGTATATTTTTGAGGGGGTGCCTCCCAGTCGCAATACTAATCACAGTTTCGAAACAAATCTTCGAGGTTAGATGGTCTAGGTGAAAGGGATTTCCTCTACGTGAAATATATGGCAGGTTCGTAGAAGCTCGTTTTTGTAGTTCTGGTGTTGCCTTTGCCTGGGAAGCATGAGCAAAGCAATCTATAGTTTCGTATACGAATTTTAAGTCTGCTAGAATATCTATATACGCTCTAGAAACGAAGAAATCAACGTTATGGCTGCGATCATAAAGGTAACACTAAAATTGGGGCTACCGGTCGCCGGAAACCCCTGTGGCGAATAACCAACCCTCTGAAATTAAAAGTGAAAGTGCTTGTTTTGAAAAATTTCGCGTTATTGTAGCGTTGATGTCGTTCTGGTAGTCGTTGTATATTGAAGGCTTGACTCGGGGGGCTGAACGTGCTTCTGCCCATCCTCCGCAAAGAAAGGTCAAAGAGCAGTAAGTAGGATTGCGAAATCTCGAACGAAGAGTGCTTTGTCAACATTGCCTATTCCTGTGTGAAATTTGCACACTCGATAACCAATATGGTCCTAAGTCGCGCAAGGGAAGCATAATTGTGGCTGGTATACATCATCGGAAGCTTTGATTAGATCACGTTCAAGTTTTTATCTTGTGAAATACTCCCGCGGCTACGCGAAAATTAAGGCTTGCTAGACAATATTTGTGGACTCGCGGAGAACAATCTGAGAACTACTTGTTTTAAACTTTGTACGTGTAGGTTCTACTGTGGTTTCGATTTTGGAATCGATGACTTATATCTGCATGACTTGGCAGATAAGTATCGTCGATATTACACACTACTTGCGCCTGGCTTCAGCTCTATTTCTACGAATAGCGCAAAAAGGGCCATGTCTCTTTAATTCCAGCCTTTGTGCAGTCCAAAAGCGCTGAGACCTTAGCCAAATAATAGTACAAATGCCTGCCATCATTTTCTACATATTCAACATCCTGCACTACCTTCCTCTAGTTCCAACGGTTTCCTCGACCACCATTTCTCTCACCGACCCCACCTTCCCAGCAACCTGCAAAATGGCACCTTCAATAGCTTTCAGTGCCCCGACAAGCTCCCGCTGCTGGTCCCTCCCACTTCCAGTGTCACCGCCTCGCGCTATCATTAGCTCTTCAGTTCTTTGCATAGCACCAGCTTCAACGGTTCTTAAGTGCGCCTCGATCTCGCGAATTTGATTTCCGTATTCATCCAGCGTGCCGCCTAGACCGTCTGCACGTTTGGAGAAGTAGCCAACGAGATCTACGGGTTTGCTGCTCGAGTCATCGTCCGTGCCACTAAAGTTCGTGCTCGATCCCGCAGGTGCGGAGGGCGCGGAGCTGAGGCCGGTCATGCCTGCGTAGTGGAACTGCTGCGGGAGTTTGAGATTTTCGATAGCACGGAACGAGAGACTTGCATCGTCAGCGTCCTTCCTGCATATCTTCTTCAAATTTTCTACAGTAGCAGTATCGTTATCGATTGCTAGTTCTACCGTGGCAACTCTGCCTTCTAAAAATTCGACATCTGGCGGAATAGAGGCGACCGAGGCACTGTGGTTGGGGAGAATACCGGAGCACTGTGTGCAGAAATTGATCTGTTGTTGAATGAATTTATCAATTTCTTCTATTTGTGACTGAAGAGACTCGTGAAGGTCGGAGAAGCGTGTTGTGCCACGGATATTCGAAACGTCAATTTTGACGCCAGGAACAGTACTAGTAGAACCGGAAAACGCTTGCGGTTGATTGTTGCTTTGACCTAGGGTTAGGCTACCACCAAAGGGGTTGGGTTGTGAATTTTGCTGTGCCATGCTGCTAAAGAGGGATGGCTGCTGCTGCTGCTGCTGTTGCTGTTGGGGTTGTTGGAGGGAGGAGCCGAACAAAGGAGATGGTTTGGGTTGAGTTGTCGTGGAGCCACTAGGAAGAATGTTGTTAGTTTACGGACAGGTGCATATGAATGGACGAATGAATGTGGATAGGAGTCCTTTGCCTACAATAATGACGGTGTGGCCGGCTTCTGCTGCTGGCCTAAATTTCCGAATAAACCACCGGATTGTTGGGATTGGTTTTGGTTTTGCTGTCCTAATGTCCCTCCAAAGAGAGAACTACTTTGTTGTGGTTGTGATTGAGTTGTAGAACCACCAAATAAGCTTCCAGTTTGTTGTTGAGCGGGTTTCTGTAGGTTCCCAAACAACCCTCCGCTTTGCTGCGGTTGTGATGCTGTGGTCTGACTAAATAACCCCCCGGACTGTTGCGCAGGCTGTTGCGGCTGTGATGTCGATTGTCCAAACAGACCACCGGTCTGTTGAGGCTGGGACGTGTTCGTCGAAGTGCCAAAAAGTCCAGCGCTCTGCTGGCCCTGACTAACATTGGTGGAACTGCCGCTATATAGAAGGTACGAGTTAGTAGAGTGTTCTAATTATTGGTTTGGATAGAGCTGTAGCAGTAGTGCAGATAAGGCAACAGATAATTTTCTTACAAGAGCGAGCCCCCGGTGTTTATACTCAAAGAGTTTGACCTCCCAAAGCCCGCCATAGTTTATTATCAGTCTATCCAATATCCTCGCGTAGAAAACTTGCGATGGCAGTCTGGAGCCGCGAAGTGCCCCAATTTCTACGCTAATAGCTTGGGAGGTGGTGCCGAAAAGACTAACAGGATTGAAGTGGAGGAATCAGCCTTTATAGGCAATGTGGTAGACGGCCAGGCTCCAATAAAGGCAGCAGAGCCTTAAGCTAGCTTGCCTGAGAATAGGGTATTCGAATATTATACCGACATATTTAGAGAACCGGATAGAGGGAGCGTGGTTGCGAGTTTGGTTTCGTTGGCATCCGAGATCAATGCGCAGCTAGGGACGGACCTTGCTGTGAAGGGTAGACTCAGTGCTGAATCCAGTGCTAAGCCCAGCACACAGAAGTAAAACCCCAAAATGGCTGCAGTTATGTGTCGGTAAAGAGATGGCGTAGGCAAAGGCGGAGATGGTTGTCTAAGGGAGCTCCGGGGGGCTGTAAAATGCGACGGGGGCGCGTTTGTTATATCGCGAGGTCTTCGCGTGAGTTTCTAGTGTTGGTGTTGATCGAAGGCTGAACTTCTCGCTTTGCTCCCAAAGAACCTTAACCCAGCGGAGATTCTACTAAACCCAAATCCATCTCTAATCAAGAAACCTGTAGTCCCATATCCATTACTTCAATTACTCTTACGTACCCTCCTGATCCTCGGACAGGAACGCACGAATACAAGCCTAAGCAACCCGTGCGATCTGTCAAGCCATACTGATATATCATTGTTTCTGGGTACCGTTCAGAGGATCTCAAGTGGTTTAGAATAGAGGGAAATATGGAAGAGGACGACGATGAGTTTTACGGTCATGATGGGACTGCCAATGCTTCCGTCAGCGGTGACCAGAGCAAACTGGACACCTCTGCCAACGGCCAGGCCAATAACAAAGACGACAACATGGACGAAGAGCTAGAGTCTGGAGAGGAAGAAGAAGAAGGCAGTGATTCAGTATGCACAACAATTCTACATCTAACTCTAACATCTACTAAGTGGTTTTAAGGATATCGAGATCATCACTGATCGACCTCAAGCTCTGAAACCTATATCGTGAGTTCTCCCCGGCTCTGATTCTTACTCTGCGTTCTCAACATGCCTCTAAAATTTGCTTTGCAAATTCACTAACCGCGACAGTCAATCTACGGTTGACTCTGGGAAAGAACCACGCGCTACCGACCAAGCCTCGAGTCGCTCGCAGACGCATCAGCAACAGTCTACAACCAAAGCAACTCTCTCAGCTCCTACAGCCTCCTCCATACCACAGCAGCCAGGATCTAGCTATCCCGAAGTGCACACCTCTACAATCGACGTTAATGCAGACCCAGTGTATCCTCCTGTCGGTAAGCCCATCTCCCAGATTGATATCGATGCCGACCTCGCCGAGAGCACCAAACCATGGCGACTTCCCGGAGCCGATCAGTCCGACTATTTTAATTACGGCTTCGATGAGTTCACCTGGGAGATGTACCGGCAGCGGCAAGCGACAATGGTCGGCACGCTTGCTACTCAGAAAGCCGAAACCGCGCAGTTCCAGCAAATGTTCGGCGGCGCGGCGCCCGTCCCCTCAACATCTCCCGCCCCGCCCGTTCCCGGCGCGCCTACGGGCCCTGCGGCCCAGCAGGCCAGCATGGCGAACCCTATGGCCGCGATGATGGGCATGCCCGGCATGCCGGGCAGCCAGGAGGAGATGGCCACCGCGATGCAGGCCGTTATGATGCAGCAGGGGATTACGGATCCCAGTCAGCTAGATTTCAATACCTTTATGGCGAGCTTTCAGCAGCAGATGGCGGGTGGTGGCATGCCGGGACAGCAGGCGCCGCAGCAGCAGCAACAGGCACAGGCACAGGGCTATGGACAAGGTTATGGTAATTATGCGCAGCAACAAGGCGGAGGACAGCAGTATGGTGGGAGGGGGCAAGGTGGACGTGGTGGGGGGAGGAGGTGGTAGTTTATGCCGGGGGCTATTGCATGGGACGGCGTTTTTGGGCTGGGTGGGTGTAGGATACCCAAGCTAGGTTTGGTGATCGTTTCAACGAGGCTTCTGTTTGAAAAATTCACTCTAAATGTCCCTATATGGCATCTTAAAGAGATACAGATAAATCTGGTAGTTTCGCAATTGCATAGAAATGAGATGTCGGTATGGTAAATGCGCATAGAAAGCGGCTCCTCCCCGACAGTCACGGCTCAAGACGATAGTCAAATATAGTCCTTACAACAAACGCGGAGTTTTGTCTATACTCCCGATGTGAGTAGAATCGTCCAGGCGCACCAATCATCATCATTTATTCCTCCATTTCATCTCCGCCTCCAAAGGCGCCC